AGCGCTCTGATACCACGTTGTCACGGACTTAGAGTGATGGCTAAAGATCCGTGCGGCCCTTGACGGTTTACTCACTAATCTTTCAAGCTTCTTGTAAACTCAAGGAAGCCTTTAGGACTTGGTTTGCTAAGAGAATGTTTAAGGAAAGTTTTGGAAAGAGCAAAGAGAGAGCTTTTTGAAGAAGGCTTTGTATTAGGCTTTGGAAGATTGCTACAACTTGCTTGGTGCCTTTGCAAATGGTGGCACCTCTATTTATACTACTCTCTAAGGACTAAAGTGTAATTAATATTTACATGGGAAGTCCCTAAGTTATCTACACTTTGGCCCCTATCTAGAGAATTCTACACTTCTCTAAGGGTTTCTTGAAATCTCTAAGGTTTTCTAGCCTATTCTAGAAACCTCTACGCCTTCTCCGCTGCAAAATTTGCCTATGGCAGTGGCAGGACGTCACAATACGCTACGAAATTGTGTATTGTTAAATTCACATTTAAGTGATAGTTAAATTTTTAGCCCTATAAAAGAAGGCTTTATGGAGAATAGAAACTAGACATCAAAGATCCCTAAAAGCTTTAGTTATTCTCTAATTCTAATATTATTGAGCTTCAAAGAGTATGAGCTCATTTTTCAGCCCAAGATATCAGTTAATCCTAGAGACCTAGATTGATGTTATTATATGTCAAATAATGTAGCATGTTATCTAAATGAAAGTGCCACTACAAATTAAAATCATGTCACATGTTAGATGACATGACATGCCTAGTCATCAAATTAAAGACCAATAAAAATATGAAGATCAAGTATAACTTATTACACCATTTTCCAAAATCATAATGAACACCTTAATCAAAAGTACTTAAAATCACGTTACATGAATTTGGTAAATGGACGTACTTATATTTTCATATTGTTAGTAGTATACTATGGACGTACATGTAATAATTATTAGTGCCACCTATTATTATTTTATGCTTCATTGAACCGTTTAACTTGGAAAAATAATAAAATCACAGCTATAAACATTATTATTAAAAAAAAAAAAAAACCATTTGTTTCCATGCCACGTCTTCTCTAGTCAAATATATATTTTTTCTGGTCCAAGAATTAGTCAATGTTTTAAGACAACCCTAAAGCTTAGAACCCTAAAAGAAAATAAATATTAAATAAATGAAAAAACAAATTCCTGGACGAGCTTGATAAATGGGCAAAACTCCTAGAGCCTCCAAAATGAATTAACATATATACATATAGAGATAAAAGAATTTCAACAACAAATTTTTTTAAAAAACATATTGAGAAGAAAAAAAACTAAGCAAAGGGAAAAAAAACATAAAGAAACTTGGGACCTATTTGAGGTCCCTATACATATTGAAAGAAACAATTTAAGAATTGATCTTAAATTGAATATTTTCAATAATTATTATTGTGTTTGTGATTTTGTGGATAAATTTGTTGAAAAAGATCATATATTATAATGAGCCAAAGGAGTTTTACTGGAGATCAAAACAAGGCAACAGTAGTTGCAATAGATAAAGATAAAGGAAGCCAATATGCATTAAAATGGGCTGTTGATACTTTAATTGGAAAAGGCAAAAATGTTACTCTTCTTCATGTTAAAGTTAGACCTTCTGTTTCCCTTCCTAATGCAGGTTTTTTTTTTCTACCTTTATATAATCTTTTATTTTGAATTTAAAAAAAAAAAAATCGATAGGAAATATTGATGTTTTTTTTCTGATTCTTTGATGTCATTCATATTGATGTACATTGCTAGTTTTGTGTTTTTGTTCTTCTTTTTGTGTTTAATCTTTTATTGTGTCATTTTCAATTGTTTCAAGAATTCTCTCTTTTGGTAAATGATTTGGCTGAAGGTTTATCCTATCACTCTCTTTTGGTAAAATGGAGGTACATTTTTTTTCTTTATAGAAAAGGGTGAAAACTTACCTGCACGCGGTGTTTATCCCAAACCATATAAAACCGTAGAAAATGGCATGGATGTTTTTTTTTATTTGTTGATAAGAGAGGTATATGTTCTGGCTTCAAAAGATAGACACATGCAAGATTTAAACGTGATGCTTTCAATCTTAAAGCTATGTAGTTCTCAAATTATGAATTTAGAATTTAATATTTATTAAAACTAAAGTGATTTCTTTCTACATATATATCTATGTTTCATGTCGAGAATATTAAGTTCAGTTGAACCTATTATTCAAAGCCTATATCCACCTCTGGCTTTAAACCTATTATTCGAACAACGTTCCTTTCTCAGATGTGAGTGATGGAACTCCCAGAGTATATAGAAGTGATCCTGATAGTCAAGCAAAGGAGTTGTTCTTACCTTTCCGATGCTTCTGCAACCGTAAGAATGTAAGTGCACGTTGCTGCTTACGCGTTCAATCTTCCTCGTGTTCTTGCAGATGTCGTTTCATTTTCTGAATCATCTTACCTCTCTTTGTCGTAGATTCAAGTCAATGAAGTTGTAATTGAAGGCATAGACATAGCGACCTCCATAAGTGACTATGTTACAGCCAATGTCATAGAGATTCTGGTGGTGGGCGCTGCATCAAGGAACGGTTTTGTTAGCAGGTACTATTTTCTGTTGTTTCCAATAAGTTGTAGTTTTCAACAACATTGCACTATTTCATATCTAGCTACTTACCACATTTTTTACTTCAAAGATTCAAGACGATGGATGTCCCAACCGCGGTGTCCAAAGTCATACCTGGCTTTTGCACAGTTTATGTGATTGCCAAAGGCAAAGTTCAATCGACAAAGAATGCATCTTCTCCAGTTCCCAGTTCACCAACTCCCGTGCAGCAGAATCATTCCACCTCCTCTCTAGGTGCTAAGCTTGGCTTCGCTGATACACGTTATGCACAAATCAGCAGCGACACAAAAGGTCTGTTTTTCCACCTGCAGCATATTGCGTTAATTTCTGTCATAAAGCACTTGAACACTATTAGAACAGGTTTAACCTGTCCTATTTCAACAGGAAGTGTGACTGATATTAGGTCACCATACGCATCACGAAGCTCAGCTGACGATTTAGATAGCATCAAGTAAGTTTTTCAGAGAATCAGGAAGCAGACAGTACTTTATGCAATATATAAGAGGAAGTGCAAAATGTACTACTCCAAACGGTTGATTAACATAAAACGACTCAATTTATATTTCTCTCTTTCAACAGGTCTCCATTCAACAGAGGTAAAGGGATAAACAGATCATATGGAGACCTCTCAGTGGCAGAATCTGATTTATCATTTGTGAGCTCTGGTCGTCCAAGCTCTACATTTCCAATCTCTATGGACAGCAGTCACGATTTGGGTCTTCCCCCTCGGCTTTCAAACAGCTCAGACACAGATGTTAAATATTCTGCTCCGCGACTTTCAAACAGCTCAGAAACAGAGAGCAGGTTAAGCTTTGGATCATCATTCTCAGCAACCAGGTTATCTGAAGCTAATGGCTTCTCATCAAATTCTTTTGATAGTGGCAATGGATCATGGTCTTCACCCAGCAACATGGTATGCATTTCAACATCAACTACAGGAGTATCTGCAAAAAATTGTTGAAACACACTAGATACAATATCACAAAAGCAATCTAAGTTTAACCAAATAAATCCAGAAAAAGTATAGGAAGATAAATATGGTGCAACAAACTCTAATCATTTGCTGGAACCTATCCTCCTCATGCTTCTAAGATATGAATTTCATCACTTTTTGTTGTTATGAAGGTGTTGTCATTCAAGCTTTCCTATGTTTCACTAAAGTTGTGACAGCGAAGGTTTCTTTAACAACTACTATTAGCACTAAATACAGAAGATAAATGATAAATATTTTTCTCTAATATATAGGAAGACATAGAAGCAGAGATGAGAAGACTCAAGCAGGAACTCAAGCAGACCATGGACATGTACAGTTCAGCATGCAAGGAGGCACTTTCAGCAAAACATAAGGTATTAATTTGAGGAGGTGAAAATTTCTGTTTTTTTATCAAAGTATAGTACATTAGTGTATCAGAATATGTTGGAAAGTACCTTCTCTTGTGAACTGGAATGTAGCCTAATTTTTTTCATGCAGGCAATGGAACTTCACCGCTGGAAAGTAGAAGAAGAACAAAAATTAGAAGAGGCACGACTAGCAGAGGAAGCAGCACTGGCTGTTGCAGAGAAAGAAAAAGCAAAGTGCAGGGCAGCCCTTGAAGCAGCAGAAGAAGCACAGAGGATCGCCGAACGAGAGGCACAGAGAAGAATCAGTGCCGAAAGGAAGGCACTCAAAGAATCTGAAGAGAAGAAGAAGGTACTGGATGCCCTTGCACAGAGTGATTGCCGGTATCGTAAGTATACAATAGAGGAGATTGAAACAGCAACAGATAACTTTGCAGCAACTCGTAAAATTGGAGAAGGTGGATACGGGCCGGTATACAAGTGTTACTTGGATCACACGCAGGTTGCGATTAAGGTTCTCCGTCCAGATGCTGCTCAGGGAAGGTCACAATTTCAGCAAGAGGTATGAAACAGAGGAATTCTTCCTTTGGTCAAAAGAAAGTAACTATGATTTGAACACATTTAGAGAACATATGTGAGTTGTTCATCTTGCAGGAAAACAGAATATTAGTGTTCTGGCGTCATGAACTAAGCATCTTTATAAAAACTTGTGTCCTTCTTGGACCATAATCAGTGTTCAACAAATCAAAATATGTGAAATAGGAGCTATAGAGTCTCTAGATTGTGTGTATTACAAAATTGACGATGCCACACTACACCCCACCCCCCACACACCCGGAAAAGAAAGAAGAAAAGAAAAACATACCAAGCAAATCCAATTAGTCATAGAGTAGTTCCTGAAAAGGTTATATTCTCTCATGCCCCTTTTCATTTGCTCTGATGCAGGTTGAAGTTCTAAGCTGCATAAGGCATCCAAACATGGTTCTTCTACTTGGAGCCTGCCCTGAATTTGGCTGCCTAGTGTATGAGTACATGGCCAATGGGAGCTTAGATGATCGCCTCTTCCGAAGAGGAAGCACTCAAGTACTTCCTTGGCAACTAAGATTTCGTATAGCTGCAGAGGTCGGAACTAGCCTCCTTTTCCTTCACCAGACCAAGCCAGAACCTCTAGTGCACCGGGATCTGAAACCTGGCAACATTTTGCTTGACCGCAATTATGTAAGTAAGATCAGCGATGTTGGTTTAGCTAGGCTCGTCCCCCCTTCTATAGCTGACTCCGTGACACAGTACCGAATGACATCAACAGCGGGAACATTTTGTTATATAGATCCTGAATATCAGCAAACTGGGATGTTGGGAACAAAATCTGATATATACTCATTTGGAATAATGCTTCTCCAAATAATTACAGCCAGACCTCCAATGGGTTTGACCCACCATGTTGAGAGGTCAATTGAGAAAGGCACTTTTGCTGATATGCTTGATCCAGCAGTTCCTGACTGGCCTATGGAAGAGGCTTTGACGTTTGCCAAGTTAGCACTCAAGTGTGCAGAACTCAGGCGTAAAGATCGACCAGATCTTGGCACTGTAATTTTGCCTGAACTTAACAGGTTACGTGTACTTGCTGAAGAAGCAATGCAACCAATGCATTTTGGAAGCAGCCCAAGAAGCCCAACTAGTGAAAGCCGATCTACCTCTCAAGTAAGTGATATAAGAACATCTTTGTAAAACAAACTGAAAACAGTTTCAACTTCAAGAAAATACCATGTGAATGCTGCAGATGGAAGAATGTCAGCGATGTTGATTGGCATACCCACCATGAAGAAGAACCTTCAAACACATAACAAGTCATGATCTTTTGCAGGTAATTTCAGGATCAGATAGCAATAAAAGCCGCTCAAGCAACCCCTTTTCATCAAGCACAAAATCAAGTGGTGAATAAGAATATGCATATGACAGAAAAAAGTTGGAGGAGCCAAGATACTGTTGGCACCAAAGATACCACAAGCAGCTTCTTTAATGTAGTTCATCTTCTAGGTAGCTGAAGATAGCTGGTTTCATGCAGCTACAGTTACTTGTTATTTATCCTGCAAAAAGAAAATGATGCTTTAACTAAACTATGTTCATAAAAGTTGACAGACTTCTGATGCCATGTTTCCTTTTGCTTTATAAAAAAGTTTTTTTTCCCCTTTAAGATCCTCATGTGGCATGAGTAACACTATAAAAATGCAGGAATACGAATTTCCTGTACTCATTAGCTCTAACCAAGAAAATTTGGCACCAGAAGATTAACAAGTTGGAAGATGGACAAGATGGAACATCCAACTCTTAGTGAAACCACAAAATTCAAGCACTGTGATTATAACACTTGGAAAATGTTTTTTTTTCTTTCAAAATAAGTGTAAGGGGAAATGCAAATGTTAGACGGATGTGCAGTCATACAAGATTAGAAAAAAATAAAAATGATGACATTTGGCAAAAGGTAAAAGTAGCGCACGTAGAGGATAAAATGAGAAAAGGTTGTTAGCTTGTCACGTGATATACCGACCTCAGATGCACCGGTCCATATTTGTGAAACTGTTGAAGTGTGTGACCATTCTCATATAAAAGCTTAAGCTATTAGAGAGAGCACATTAATTTTCTTAATTATATTCTCAACACGCCCCCCTCACTTGTGGGCTTAATTCTTTTTTTCATTGGCCAAAAATGTGGAAATTCTTTTTGATAATGGGTGACGGTTAGTTCTGATACCATGCTGAAATATGTGACCGACTTAATCTAGAAACTTAAGTTGTCAGAGAAAGCATACTTTTATTTGGTTAAATATATTTTCAACCGAAAGCATGATGATTGAAGGTAGTAAAAGGGGACAATATAGACCTAAAATCACATGGAATGAAGTTGTCTCGAAAAATTAAGTTTTGTTGGCGGAGTTCCACATCAGTTGTGGACTGGGTATTCGGTCTCCTATTATTTTATTTTTTGATAAGGTAAACTATTATTGAAAAGTACCAAGGAGGATACTAGAATCAAAATAGAACCCAACCAGACAATCTGCTACTCTTTTCTACCTAACAACATCTAACATATTGTTATTAAACCAGAAGTACAGATCCACATTTATTTTTAACTCTAGAAATGTGATCTCTATGTCCTTCAAACAAAGCCTTGTTCCTTTCCAGCCAGATTGTCCAAGAAATGCAGAGTGGGATAGTCTTCCATATCTGTTTCAGCCTACTAGGAACCCTTTGAACATGCCAGCTTTCTAATGACTAATAGACCCTTATAACTTTCGACATCACCATGAGATGCCAAAAAGGCTCCCAGCCTTGTCAAGAGAATCTGCAGTAGAGAAGTAAATGTTCAACTGTTTACTGTTCTTCTTCACATAAATAGAATCTGTTACACAAAATAAAGCCCTTCTTCTGTAAATTATTTTGAGTAGACATGCACCCTAGGTTGCAATCCATTCCAGACATGCTACCTTAACTAAAGTTTCAGTCTTCCAAATCATCTTCCAAGGCCAAGTACTATCCAAATGAAATGTTTCCCTTATAACAACTTTTAACAGAGAACTTCTTATCGTTACTGGTGGTCCAAATCAAAGAGGCCACTTTACCCTAAATAAGCTGAACAGACAAAGATCTCTTATATGGTTTTCGACAATCCTCACCTCATGAGCTAGCTTTTGATATTGAGTTAGGACCAAAGTCCATTTATCTTATCATGGTATTAGAGTTAGGCCCATCACAATTCTCTTGGTTTATCAGATGTAAGCCCCCCATCTAATATTGATCATGCTACAGATGTTCAGTCCTAGCATACAGAGTGTTGAGTTCCCACATCGATTGTGGGATTGGTAAGTCTCCTTATATGATTTTGGACCATTTTCACCTCATGAGCTAGCTTTGGGGATTGAGTTAGGTCCAAAATCAATTTTATCAGGATCCATGCAAACTTGTTGAAAAATAGCACACCAAAACATTGAAAGAAAAAAATTCATATAAGCAATACAAATTAATAGGGGCGAAAACTTGGACATGATGGTATGTTTGCTTTGAGTCTGATGTTTGTTAGGTATCCGTTAGAGAATACACTTGTCCCTCATAGGCTGTGCATGAGTTTTCGAAGAGATTTGTAAAGTCCTGGACCACCTATTGCCAAGGTTTTGGGTTAGATGCTCATATTCTTCACATGATATTAGAGCCGAACTCTCATGAGCCCATTTGCACAACCATTTTCTCTTTTCATGTTCTATTGTTGTGCACTTCTCTTCCTCAACTCAGCCCATAAAGCTGCTCTGGGTTTCTCTCAGATTAGCCCATTGAGCCACTAACATTACTCTAGGCCCACTATCCAAATGCATCACCTAATGAACCTGGTCCATTACTTGGTTGTATCACACAATGAATCTGGTCCATTACTTTAGTTACTATTCATTCCATTAGTTAGTTACTAATCTGATAGTTAGTTGACTGGTTACTCATTAATTGGTGATGAGCTGGCATAGTTTGTTAGTATTCATTTACAAGATATTTTGTAGATTGGGGATATAAGACTTAGCACAATGCTCTCATTTGAATGTAACACACGAAAATAATGATCAATACAACTTCCTTTCTCTCTTTTCTCTTAGCTTGAATTCATTGATGGATTTGTGAGTTTGTGAGCTCATATTTTCTCACCCACTCATTAATCTATTGAGTCTAGTCTCTCTCTTCAATCTTCACCCTTTTAGCTACTAATACTTAGGTGTAAGTCCATCTAACCCTCGCCACATCAAGGCAGATTTTGAGTGTGTGTGTGTGTGTGTATAAAGCTTAAAGAAAAGTGCTAGTTTTCTGGGAGTTTTTGGAGACATGAAGTGGTTCCACTCGGAGGAAACTGTAACTGAAGACTCTCCTCGAGTTTCATTTATCTGCAGGAGTTTGTCTTCTTTCAGGTTACTAATCTTCAGTTTCTTTTTGATTTGTTGTTAGCATCTGTTAACCTATCCACTAAATTGTGCCACTCAGGTGAGTTTACTGAATGGATAGCTAGGCAAGAAAGGGACCCAAAAAAAGCATAAATGATGATTAAATGAAAAGAGAAAAAACAAAAGAAAGTTCAGAATTTTAAATTGCAACTAACCCACAAATGCAGCTTCCAGTTATATCCTTTCTGATCAAATCAGTGAATGGGTAGCTGCAGTCAGGGCCGATAAACCACTTAAACCAGTGTATCTGAAGAACTGGACAGACAGAAAACAAAATGTTATAATCTTGTTAGGATCAAATACTGTTTAAGAAACTGTTTCATCTTTCTCGCATATTATGGCATTCTACGCAACATGTCTGAGGTGGATATTAGTATATTACTGTCTCGCATATCAGAAGTTACTTATGCACATTCATGGAGTTAAATTTGCTTTCAGTAACCAATGACAAACATGCTTACTTGTTCAAATAACTGAGCACAATGCAATTGCACAGAACTTCCAGCTCAGAAGCTATTCATCATCAATAGTTCCAAAAGATTTGATTACGGCGGAAGTATTTCTTGAGATAGGTGGTGATAAGCTCCTCATACGTCCAATTCTTGTTCTTACTGAACTCTAAACGTGCGTCCGAGCTTAAGTGGAAATCCCCTTTCCCTATGGCCTCAAATACGAGAGGTTCTGTTGCTACTATAACACAATCATTTATATTCAATTTCCGTAAAGCAAAATCCAAATTTCGTCCCAGACCTCTATCTAAGTATGCATCAACAACAGAACCATAAGTCACAAGATCAGGAACTACCTTCTCATGTTTCATATGTTCAAGGGTTACATGCAGATCCCAAAATAAAGACATCTTTGAAAATGCCAAAGCTCTAATATTGAAAGTATTAAGATCAGGAAAAAATCCACTTTCTACCATTCTCACAAATTCTCTCTGCAAACTTTTCATTTTGAAGTTGGCAGCATAAGAAAGAAGTAACAGGTTCCACAGTAGATTCCCCACATTTCTCCTACAAAGACCGACATCTCTTACAAACTGACCTAAACTATAAAACTTCTCTTTCTTGAGATAAGCCAAGGATATCGACCTGATCGCTTCTTCCTCTATAAGAATTCTTGACATCTTAAGACGGCCATATGCAACTTCCATTTCACTCAGCATGCCAAAATTGCTGTAGTAAATAACATAGGCATTTCCAGTAGTAGAATCAACAGGGAACCCCATGGAAACCATCTCTTTCAACATAACTTCCATCAATTCAAGCTGCCCTTTCTTTCCAAAACGAGAGATAGCCTGAGCATAAACATCACGAAGCAGGTTGGAATCTTTCAACTGAATCTGATGCAATATTCTGACAGCAACATCTAAATATCCTTTGCAGACGTAGATATCAATCAGTTCTGCAATTACATGAACATCCGGCAGAAATGAACTGTTCATAATTTCATCCCAAGCAGCTAATGCTTTGTAAAATAAACCATTACTAGCATAGCATAGCATCAATGCTGACAAGGTAGAGCTATCAGGTACAAAACCCTCAGATTTCATTTCAAGGACTAGCCTTTCAGCAGCAACAGGCAATTTTTTCCTACTTAACCCCTGTATCAGTGAAGCACAATCTGCATAATTACCACGTGGATCAATATTCCCTCCCTGTTTCATGCGCCAACGTCTCTGTGATCAGTACAACATACAACTTCCTTATAAGAGCAACCTTATGAAAATATTTATGCAATGATTGTTTGGGTAGTTGTTACTAATTGTATTGTATTGTATTGCTACTTTCAATACAATATTTGATTTGATTGTTACTTAAAATTTTATTATATTGTATTGTTAAATCCATCATTATGTAACAACGAAAAGCCTATAACGACCGATTTAGTGTGATCGTGTTGTTATCTTTCTTTTCTTTCTCATTTTGTCTTTTCTTACTATTTAATAATCCTTTTTTATCCATTGCCCTACTTTTTCTATAATAACTCTACCTCTTATCATGCTTTTCCTACTTTTCTTCATAATATTGTAGTTCCATCCTTCAAACTGTTGATGTGTGTCATTATGTAACAATGGGAACGATACAATCTATCCAAACATTGTCTTCTTCAAAACAATACAATACAATAGGTATAATAAATAAACATGCGCTTTAACTAGGCCTCCATCGACATTTATGCTCCCACTTTGAGTGTGCACAAATAGATACTTAAACTTATATAAAGTTGAACAAGTACTCACATGTCTTCTACATGGTGTCCTACTTGGCAACTCACGTCTTATGTGGTGTGCTATATATATATATGTTCAACTTTATATAAGTTTAAGCTAGAGTGTGTTTATGTACTAAACCCAGTACAATACAATACAATGATACATAAAAACCATCCAAACAAGCTAATTTGAGTTGATTTAATTCAATTTAGCTTCAAAGATTAGTTCTAGAAAAGGAAAAAATTGGGAGATAAAGGGAGTATAGCCAAGATGAAAATTGTACCTTTTGTGCAGAAGATTGATTTTGGTGGGAAATTAAGGAAAAGGGCCTCAATTTTGGAGTTACGGCTATGGATACAACTAACCCAGCTGCCATTGGTGACTTATCCTGAGAAGCTCAAACGCACAATTTTGCTGCCGCTAAACTTAAAACTGGGCCTATCGCCGCTTCCACTTTCAACTACTTATCTACTTTCCTCCGTTATTTTTTAGTTATAATGTTATACTTTTTGAAAGTTAATTCAATTAATTTTTTAAATTAAAATAAATTATATTAATTTGATATTTTAAATGGTCATTGCACAAATTTCTCTGTTTGACCTGGTTCTTAATTTTTGCCTTTTAAAATTGTTCATTTTTAATTTTTATTTTGGGAATTTTAAGTAATAAAAAGATGGTTGAAATGATTTTGATAGCGAGAAAAATCACTAAGATAAAAAAAAAATCACAGAGAGTAAGTTTACGGTACAAGTTATATCCTAAACATATTTTCACTGGTATAAGTTATGCTTCACACATAAGTTTATTAGCACAAGTTATGTTCAGTCATAAATGCATGACATAAATTATGCCTGAAGGCAAAAAAAAATAAAAAATTAAACTCAATGCATAAATTTAGTGTCCCAAATTATGTTTAAGTACATGAAAAATATGAATCGAAGTTTGAAGAAGGGGAGGGAGAAGGAGCCCTTGACCCGCAGGAGGATTTATTCAATCACATAGTTTGGGCTCCTAGAATATGGCACCCTTGGGGCTTTCTATTTGATTGTATCGAAAGGCCCAATGAATTGGGATTTCCCTATTGGTCCAGGTCATTTCGGGGCAAGCGGATCATTTATGATGAAGAGGATGAGCTTCAAGAGAATGATTCGGGGTTCTTGCAGAGTGGAACCATGCAGTACCAGACACGAGATAGATCTCAAGGCCTTTTTCGAATAAGCCAATTCATTTGGGACCCTGCAGATCCACTCTTTTTCCTATTCAAAGATCAGCCCCCTGGCTCTGTGTTTTCACATCGAGAGTATAATGACACAAGTTATGCATACGTCATAAGCTCAGTGGCATAAACTATGTCACAGGCATAAGTTCATAGCAAAAGTTAAGTCTCAAGGCAAAGGTTCTTTAAAAGTCTTGTCTTTTGAATCAGAACTTATGACTCAAGACAAACATCTCTAAAGGAATTTGCTTAGAAAAATTAAGAACAAATATAATGTATAATTTTGTCAAGTCCCATAAGAATATACATGGTATAGTGTTCTAACTTTTACCTGTAACTTTAACATAACGTGCATTAAAAAATATCAAGAACTAATTGAATCGTGTCGATATTGAAAAGAAACCGAAATGATGAGATGGTTTCAAAAAATATAATTTTAATTATAAAAAAATAAATAACATAAATATTAATATGATATAAATTTTATAACATAACCGTATGACAGTACAATTGATACTCAATTACTATTCATTATAATTTGACATATTTTTTGTGAATATATGGAATTGTATATATCATTTGAATTAGGCAAGTAGATATGTTGAAATACCAAATATTTGTTGATTACATTTAGTAATCATTTTTAACATGTTATATATTAATGTTTATTATTAAAAATTTATCTATAATTACTCAAAATTGACCTTATTATATAAACTCTTTTTTACAGCACTACATAGAATTCAAACTCTTACTTTTTATATTTGTGGCAGCCATCTTAAAATGTGGAAAACTTAAAAATGAAATTAGTTCAAGACCAATTGGATTCTTTAACCTCTCATTTAACCATAAATTTTGAAGTCGTATTTGGACATACATTTTATTTAGAAAAAAATTGAAATTTTGTGAGTCAAAGTAAAATTTCTCAAATAGATTTTGGATCAATTTCTGAAAAATTAAAAATATTCGAAGATCAAATATTCAAAATCTAATTAAATAATTCATGCCTAAATTGATATTTAAAAATATTTTTTTGAAAATCTGATTCAAAACGATAGATTGCATATTGGATAAGATTACCTAGAAAAAATGTTTAAATGTAGATGAATGACATATTTGGCTTTACCAACCATGAGTGAGTCCACTAGTTTTGACTTGATTAATAGATAGCCACTAAGTACATTCTCCTACCTAGAATTTGAATATGCCCATGGATTATACATAAAACCATTTGACACCAAACTTTCCTACCCCCACCATGTTGTCAATTTTACTTCATATATATACACACAACCCCTTATGCCTATTCTCATAATAATTCATCTCTACAAATTAAAAAAACATGGCCAAATTTGTTAACAAAATGACCATATATTCCATTCTCTTTACAATTATATTTCTTTCATATTCAAAATTACTATCATTCCCTCTCAATAACATTTCACTTGTTGTACTCCCTATACTTCCCCTTATTTTCTACTTCCTCTATGCCAACAAATCCCAAAACACCCTCCCTCCGGGCCCACGGCCCGTCCCGATTTTCGGTAATTGGCTTCAAGTCGGTAACGACTTGAACCATAGACTCCTAGCGACCATGTCACAAACCTATGGTCCGATATTTTTACTCAAACTCGGGTCGAAAAACTTAGTTGTTGTATCGAACCCTGAGCTAGCTAATCAAGTCCTACACACACAAGGGGTTGAGTTCGGGTCACGTCCACGTAACGTTGTGTTCGATATATTTACGGGGAATGGACAAGACATGGTGTTCACAATATATGGTGAGCATTGGCGAAAAATGAGACGTATCATGACAGTACCATTTTTCACTAATAAAGTGGTGCACCAATATAGTGATATGTGGGAAAATGAAATGGACCTAGTTGTTGATGACTTGAAAAAATTGAAAAATGAGGGAATTGTTATAAGGAGACGTTTGCAATTGATGTTATATAATATTATGTATAGGATGATGTTCGATGACAAATTTGAGTCTTTAGATGATCCTTTGTTTATTGAGGCAACTAAATTCAATTCAGAGAGAAGTAGATTAGCTCAAAGCTTTGATTACAATTATGGTGATTTTATACCTTTGCTTAGACCATTCTTGAGAGGGTATCTTAATAAGTGCAAAGATTTGCAAACAAGGAGACTTGCATTCTTCAATAATTATTTTGTGGAGAAAAGAAGGTAACCCCTTTTCCCCCTCATTTTCTGCTTTATTTTATTTTGAAATCGCGTTAGAAGTTATGTGAGTGAAAACTTGAAAAACTCCTAAAAGTTATTCATTTTTAACCTTTCTTTGAACTTCTTGACAGGAAACTAATGGCTGAAAATGGAGAAAAACATAAGATAAGTTGTGCTATTGATCATATAATAGATGCTCAAATGAAAGGAGAAATAAGTGAAGAAAATGTGTTGTATATTGTGGAGAATATCAATGTTGCAGCAATTGAAACAACTTTATGGTCCGTGGAATGGGCTATAGCTGAGCTTGTAAATCATCCAAATGTTCAACAGAAAATTAGGGATGAAATCTCAACTGTCCTTGAAGGTAAGTCAGTCACAGAATCAAATCTCCATGAGTTGCCCTACTTGCAAGCCACAATAAATGAGACATTAAGACTCCACACCCCAATACCTTTACTTGTACCACATATGAATCTTGATGAAGCAAAGTTAGGTGATTACACTATTCCTAAGGAAACTAAGGTGGTTGTGAATGCATGGTGGCTGGCTAACAATCCTGCATGGTGGAAAAACCCGAATGAGTTCCGGCCTGAGAGGTTTCTCGAGGAGGATGGTGGCACGGAGGCTGCTGTTGCTGGTGGCAAGGTGGATTTCAGGTACTTGCCGTTTGGAATGGGGAGGCGGAGCTGCCCCGGAATCATCCTTGCATTGCCAATTCTGGGGCTTGTGATAGCCAAACTAGTGTCAAATTTTGAAATGCAGGCTCCTCCAGGTGAGGGAAAAGTTGATACAAGTGAGAAAGGAGGGCAGTTTAGCTTGCACATTGCAAAACATTCCATAGTTGTGTTCAAGCCTGTTGCTGCATAATATGCTTACCAGAAAGCAAAATTACTGTCATTCTTGAAAGATTTCAATGAATATTTAATTATAGTTTCTTTTTCACCTCTTTGTATTACCATAATATCATTTTGTAGTTCAAAATAATAAAAGCTTTCACATTCTGTGTCTTTACTAAACAGCAGACAAGACAGTTTCCACAGGACACATTTTGCTTTTGCAGCGTCAAATTTCTTCACATTTGTGTGTATTACAAAACTGAGATACACCAGCTACAACTAGGGAAATAACTTGTGCTCCACATCTATCCTCGAGCAGTGGAACACTCGATTAGTTTTTCTATAAAAGGAAGAAAAGGAAATGCCGGCTAATCCTCATATCAATGGGGGGAAATTTACACATCACTTGATCTAAGGCTAATGAGAGTTCCCCAAGTACACACTCCTAGACTAGAGGTACAGAGAATTTGCAAACATTATCCCTCGTCGAAGGCTCTCACTGGCAGCAGCAAATTTGTTCTCCAAATCCACTTCTCCCGCAGCATGTGCAGCACCTTTTAACTGTAAATCCAAGAGACAAATTTCCAGTATTTGATTCCATAACATATATAAAGACGGGAACTCGTATCCAAAGTGTTACATAATGACATGCTTGTGTACAAGCGTTAATAATAAAAAAGAAAATCAACTTATTTCATGAAAGTACTCCTTGATGCACCAAACTAGCTTAGTAAACCAGTGATATTAAAGATTTAGGTTTTTTTCCCACATAAACGCTATACCAAAGTATCCATGAATTACCTGGTTCAAAAATTCATCAAGCCTTCTTACTAGCCGAATGATGCTACCTTCAAAGATATCAGTCATTTGTATAACCTCCGCGAAAGATGCTCCCTGAAGGAAAGCATTAAAACAAATAAGAGGAAAGAGTAAAAATTCACAGTGTTTTCTTCTTCTTTTTCAATTGGGGTAAGGAAAGACCCTAGGTTAACTCAATGTGGAAGAGACAATGCTAGAAACCTTTGTTTAGGGCAACCGGAAATCATTTATTTTTAACCAAGGAAGAATCCTGCAACACTAAAATGTTCCTTAAAGACTGAACTTGAGCTGAACTGAATAAACCTCTTCCAAATACGAGAAACTAGTTTGATTATAATCAACTTTCCTCCAACTGGTTTCAATCATAAAAAATTAAGCAAGAGTAAT